TGGTTCTAAGGGCATCTCAAGACAACACTTTAACTGACCATAACAATAAAATCAATGGAACTTCCATTTGCTGGAATGGCTGTAGAAACTTGGGAATTTTTTTTTTGACGACTGGTATCATGATGTGTTATGCCTCTGAGTTTTAACATAGCTGAGAAAAAAATGTAACGTTGGAAGTATTGTCTCACCTGTACAAACTCTTCACGGCTGTGTCTTCAAGAAGTCGCCCGTCATCACAGGTTTCTCCCAGTCAGGACAGGAACATCAGGATGCACTATTCTATGCATGATACGGGATAATCAGTACAACGCAACAAGCAACCAGGTACAGGTGAATATAGAAAAGTATATGAAGTATAATTATGAAGAAAACTTACTTATTGGATCTGCATAGGCATTTTCTAGCCAGTAGTTAGTCTGTCAGACACAGTAACTGCTGACCATATATATAGACTCATACAAACTAGTAACTTTATTATTTGCCATACATTGTACCCGTGGCAATCATTGTGCAATAAACTTTGACTTTCAAAGTTGGAAAGGCCAAAAAGTTTGAACATTCTTCAAATTGCTATATAAGGAACACACAAATTTGCCTAGATTAGAACAATATGAACAGTGTTGTTGTTCTTACATATCAGCAAAAAAGGCCAAGACAACAACAACAAATGGAATCCTGATATTAAGTCTCAAATACAAAATGTCCCACAATAATTTGTGTGCGACGAAGGAGATGGAAACTCCTTGGTGCGACATATCGTTCCACAAAACGCAAATTTCTGCAGAATAAAACGGTTAAAATGACGAATTATAACGTGGTCTGTTGCTACAGGTTTGTTGGAAGTACAAACATGACATATTTATACCCTGGATGCCAAACTAGTATCGGGCCGTTAGCCGTTTTCCTTCGGCAGCCAAGAGCCCTTCGCCCGCCTATCTAAATTACCGCTATGGGCCCGGGGGAGTTGAGCCCGAGGGGTTTGTAGTCCGACCCTTTAAATTAAAACGCAAACTTCTACAAACGAATTATAACGTAGTCTGTTGCTACAGGTTTGTTGGAAGTACAAACATGTACATTCAAGGAGCTAATTTGTTGCCTCACCTCGCAAGAACAAGTCTTTTTCCATGGCAGTCGCCATTTTTGTTCCCAGTCTCCACTGCAAAGGTCACGGAGCTGCAGCCGACGCACAGCGGTGGGACAAGTATCCAAGCGCAAATCTACGCCGACTGAACACGCACCATAATTCAACTTTTACAGTCTCAAAACTGACGTATTCCTCTAACATTCACCACAGGTTCCATCTCGATGCCATGCACAAAACAATCTCTGCACCCTTCTCTAGTATTGTGCAGCACTACTTTGTGCCCGGACTACTTTTGAGGGGTTCGCCCATAAATACTGTGTTGTGCGGTCTTAGTGTGGACCTCTCCTTGGTGCTGAACTCACCATCAATTCCATGTATTAAGTATTGCAGTTGTGGCCTCAATACTTTACACGACGTTTTGTTTGACACAACAGTACACCCATAGAAAAGCGAGGCATTGATGTATTTTAGTACATGTATATACAGAATATAGTACACTGAAGCCTGTAAATCATGATAAAGAGGATATCAGGGAAAACAGTTTGATCACAAATGCTGTTGAAAATATATCCTATTGCTATATAGAATGAAACAACAATCATAACAAGTGCTCTCCTAAATAGGAAAATGTACTGTGTTCATATTTGTAATAAAAGATTAGTCACAACCTAAAACTAAATATTAGTTTGAACTCTTTCAGAAATGACAACGAATAGCAGGGAGGGCCTAGCTTAATCAACGATGGCAATTTGAAAAATTCAGAGGATCGCAAACATGCCCTTTCCAGCATCTTTCATTGTATTTTTAAGGGTCTGCATGGGGGGTCCCTGTCACACTTCGCATGCTAAATTCTGTAAGGCAGCGCCCGCGATTTACATTTGTTCAGCTTGGTTTCACGTAGATAACATTTGATATCATATTTTGATATATATTTATACAGGTTAGCATATCAGATGGCGATATGCTAACCTGTATAAATAAATAAAAATGAAATGAAATATTTCATCGTTGTTTGACTTCAAATTATGCAAAATTGAAATGGCACAGTGCAGAATGCTGCAATTAAGCAACGATCACGTATTATGGTTCACTTGTAAATGGCTGGACGTTTTATCACATAGATGAGAGTTTAATGGTGAATAGATTGACCTGAATTTCCATTATGCAAACCTACTGAAATGGCTATGCATTGCGGCATGCGGACCCCATTTTTGAAAGAGTTTATAAATAAAAGCCAACTCACAGTCAAGTCCGATGTTCTCTTCTCTTGTAGATAGGTAACACGTCCTTCAGAAACAGGTAGATCCACCTGGGAATAATAGTCCTAGAGTGTGGACAGGTACACAGGACAGCTGACAGGTCCCACAGCACACACAGGAGACAGGTCCCACAATGTCAGCTATACATTAGCAGCATCTCAACTTGAGCCTAGGGTGTAAAAGAAATACACATTCAGAAAGATCACAGGCCAAATACTAGTATCAATTACTCACAGAGCATCATACATCATTTGTTTGAGTTCTAAATCTTGCTTTGGGTCGGAGCAAATTCTGAGTAGGGAAAGAGCAGAGCAAAATTGCAGTCAACATTCAATCAAAAGTCAACATGTTATTAGGAAAACAATGTCATGACCATGGAAAAATCAAAGTACATCTCACATAAAATACAGAGCAGTCACCAACAATTCACAGAATGCTATTCAAACATCAGTTCAAAAGCATTCAGGCACATCTTATATTGACAGAACATTATGGGAAAACATGGCTTACATAATGCATAAGTCAGTAGAAACAAGAATTCGGAGATTTCATACCTCCATGAAATATATGGGTTTTTGTAAGTGTTTTTTTATTTGTCTCATTGACTATGGAAATAAGGTCATAATTAGCATAACCTAGTTTAATGTTTGGTTTTCTAAATTCAAACGACAATATTTTTCGTGTAAAATTCCTCTACTTTGTCATTCTTCATTTCAACATGTCCTCACTAATAATGCAAATAACCCCTGCATAGTGAATGTGGTTTTAACCTTTAAGTACTAGTATCTTCGGACAACGAAGCCAAGCCAAGAGAGAGACTAGTAACTTACACATGTCACAAGGTATAGAATTCCCATCATTCACCAAAAAGGAGTCACAGAATTTTAACATTAATTATGCAAATTAGGTCATTATTTGCATAATTCGAATCTGTTGATGTTCGGCCTGATTAAGTCCTCATTTGCATAATTTGCATTTAGTTATGTTCAACTCTCTCTCAGCTACCTACACACCAAAAATGATAAAATACGTTGTTCCTATCTGGACTTATTGGCTTTTAAAGATTTCGCCAGAAAGTCCCCTGCAGTTCCAGAACAAGCTGCTAGGGGGACCAAACCCACACCACTTATTTCTGACAGGACAAGCTATCTGTCACCAAAAAGTTAACACCATAGAATGTTCAGGACAAAAGATACAAAAACGGGAAGTTCTGCCGCAGCACCAAGGTCATCCACCAGGAGGCCCATATTTGACCTTCACCTTTGTCTTCCTAAGACTTACCAACATACCAAATATCATCACAATCGAAAAAGGCGTTATGAAGTTATGCTGACTACAAATGTGCGGAAACACAGACACACACACACAGACACACACACACACACACAGACGCACCAAAAACAATACCTCAATTTTTCATGGAGGTAAAAATTCAGAAAACGGGAAGAAACGAGCGCTTCTATTAAATGTAGTAATGTTAGTTCAAAACGGACATGAAAATAGTGTTCCCGAACGGCAGCTTTTGTGCAGGTTTAAACATGTAGGGAATCGTTACCGGCGCAACAATTTCGCCATTCTGCGTGTTAGCTTCATTCCATTTCTTCTGTCATTGTTAGGCAGCCACCTAGCTGAAGAACCTGCTGCCTTTTTTGTGGCTAATACGAGATGGGGTTCGCCAGGCCTCCATCCATGAAAGGCGTGTAAAGTGCCTTTCCCAAGGGCACAAGATCGGTGACATGGCGGGATTCGAACCCGGGACATCGTGGTTCTGAGCCGAACGCTCTGCCGTTGCGCCATATGACGCCCAACGAATTGCAAAGAGTTTGGCCGAGAACATAGTACAATGAACATAGGACAATGTTGAATGTGACTCACCTCCTTAAACGGACGTAGCTCGTATTAAAAGACGAATTTTAACCACCGAGTTCTTCCCTGTCCAAGCGCCGTGACTTGCCATCTTGCTCTGAGCAGCGGCGTGGTCTTACCACCACCTGATACGGAATCACCATAATTTGCATATTCCCAATTAGATAATTAAGTTAGGCCATGTTGATTTGATTATGTGGATGGCATCCACTGGGAACCCAAAAACTGATGCGAGCGTGCGAATAAAAAAAAAGTTGCCTTCATTCAATCTAGGTGGTCATGAAGGTTGAACAAATGACTGAACACACATAGTGATATTTCATTGGCATGGTGAATAATTTTCATTTCGTCACATTTTCGTCTCTTCCTTTGGAATTGATCTTGGCATTCTGTGACATAAGTATCGTTTTCTTTTTTTCAGTTTGCGATATAACGTTATATTTGCTCATTTTGCAGCTGTTTTGTACGATTTACAGTATGGCCGAAAACTGTGTGTGTGCGTGTATGCGCATGTGTTTATGCGTATGTATGAATGTGTATGATTGTGTGGATAAGAATGTGTGTATTTGGTATATGTGCATGTGCGCGCGTATGTGCAGGAGAGTACATGTACTAACTTTACGCATACATGTGTGTGTACATGTATGTTAGTTACATATAGTGCACAATTATGCAATCACGATATTGATCGGATATTCTGATGAATGTTTAACCATTCTGGTCAATGTCCAGTCAAGAGAACCACCCCGTACCACGGATCGGTCAAAGTTCAGGTCAGACTACGTGAGTTATGATTGTTTGTGACGCACCTGTAAAGCAGGAACAACAGATTTCAAGCTCAACAGCTAGTCCAAGGAGAGAAGACATCCCACAAACCTTAAGGTAAGGTAATCCTCAACTGAGGTGAAGGATGATGCTTTTACAAGTAGCTATTATGGCAATGCGGCTTCGCTACAGCTCGTGTTTATGTATGTACATGTATAGCCAACCACACTCAGTCTTATCGATAAACATGTTTGGTCCTTTTTTTTACTGTGCCTTAAGTTCCGACTGTCTTCAAAGGGAACTTTGGTCAAACTTGGTACGTGACGTTTTGAGTAAGAAGCAAAGATAGATTATGTAAGTTATACCTACTGGCTGCCAGTACGCTATTTACTGACCCCAAAGAGGTCATAAATCTAACAATTGCATAAATCTAACAATTGCCCTTCGGATGGCGACCTGATGAGGTGCTCTTTTGTTGTTGTTATTTTGGCTCTGTTGTACTTTGCGAATGATTAATATAACTAGCTAATGTTGCTTGTATAAAACAACTTTCTATCTCCCCTGCACCTATATCTAGGTACTAGGTTTTGTCTCAGCCATATCCTATATCGTCTGTACAAAATTAATTTTCGTGAACGGTCAGGCAATATAAAGCACCAGAGTGCAAAATACCAAAAAAATGTAATAGTCTTTGTAATAGTCTTTTGGGTGAGGTATGGTATTTGATAAGGTATTGATTGCATTCAAAATTGAATAACAAGTACTGTAAGAAATAGTAGGCAGCATTAATGATAATTGTTTTTCTGTAACTCATAAAGACTTAACCATAGACCACTCAATATTATATACTTATACATGCCATGTTAAACAATCCGTTTCAGGTTTACAGCGCAAGTGTAGGGTATATACGTAGCAGCTGACAGGCCAATCTTCACATCATATAAGTATCAAGGTGTGTTTGATTCTACTTTGTACAAATTACACTCATTGAAACTCACAGTAACATGTGAACATGTGAAAGTTATTTTAACTTTAAAACGCGCACGTGTAACTACCAACACAGAAAAAACTTTCATCATAATCATTATTTAGTATCTTATGTTTTACATCTTAAACCAGGACAGAGAGGGGTGCATCATGGGTAAGAATCCACCAGTTGTGCTGATGTTTCTCCTGGTCATCTTTAAGATGTTGGGGACAGCGGAAGGTGCCTGCAGCTGTACGCCTTCAACGTGTGACTGCTACGGACAGGGTCTTACCAGCGTTCCTCAGGACCTACCCACAACCATCACGGAGTTGGATCTGACAGAAAATCAGATCACAACTTTAAGTCAGTCAGATTTCTCACGTTATAGGGACTTAGAGACTATAGAACTTGATAACAATCGCATCTCTACCATCAACAGTCAGGCGTTCTATTCCTTGTCGAACTTGGTCACCTTGTATCTCTCCGAAAACCGTCTGACAAGCCTAAGATCTGATATGTTTGTAGGGTTGGAAAAGTTGCAAGACGTTAATTTTTACACAAATTACATCGATGATATTCAGGCTGGCACTTTTAACACAACTCCACAACTAAGAATCTTAGAACTGGGTGATAACAGGTTAACAACTATCAGATCTGACATGTTTACAGGGCTGGGAAAGTTGCAGGAACTAAATGTGAACATTAACAACATCACTAACATTCAGGCAGGAACATTTATATCAACTCCACAACTAGGAACTCTGGCCCTACATGATAACAAGTTAACAAACCTCAGATCTGACATGTTCACGGGGCTAGGGAACTTACAGAGGCTTTTGTTGTACAATAATGACATCAGTGATATTCAAACTGGTACTTTTAACCCTACACCACAACTTATAAACTTATTCCTGTACAACAACCGCATTCAGTCCATTCCGCCCAACTTACTGGCGAATCTTCAACAACTGAGATACCTCAGATTTGATTACAATAACATTACGACTTTTCCGTTTCAAGATTTGTCAAAACTACAAACAATTTCTCGTCTTTCTCTTAATAATAACCAAATGTCAACTCTTCCGTCAGCGGCCTATGACATACTTTCATCAATATCTAACGTAGACATTGACAACAACCCCTGGCAGTGTGACTGTAGGATGACTCCCTTTAGGCTAAAGATGAACGGGTCTTATCCTTTTGAAAACCAAATCACTTGCTCCCAACCTAGCAACTTCTCTGGACAAAACTTGATAGATATACATCCAGACGATCTAGGGATATGCGAAGAACCAAGCATTGCAAGGTTTCAAAGAGTTGCAAACAATCCTTTGGTACAAGGAAAGCCTATCTATTTAGTGTGTGAAGTTTCTGGGATCCCTACACCAAGCATTACAGTCACTCTCCCATCTGGACTGAACGCTACAGTTGTATCGGATGGAAGGGTGACTGTTGATGAGAATGGTAACATTATCATACGAGATGCTACATCATTAGATGTTGGCCTGTACACTTGCATTGCAACAAGCCCTGTTGGCTCAACATCTGCAGGACTTTCCATTGATGTACTTGATGTAGAACCAAGAATTGTGAAGTTTGACAGTTCTGTGAACACTTTGGGACAGAGAAAGTCTCTGAGTTTGGTCTGTGAAGCTTCAGGTAGCCCACCACCAGATATCACAGTCATTCTCCCATCTGGACTGGTTACAACTTTAGATGTGCATGGCGCAGTAACCATTACCGATGTTACTGCAGCAGATTCTGGTCTGTACGTCTGTATTGCAGTAAATGTAGCTGGCTCAACTTTTTCCACCCTGGCCGTTGATCTACAAACTGTGCAAACAACTGTTTTGCCATCATTGACGACCATTGTCACAACACCTTCAAAACAACCAAAATCTGCCCCCACTTTCTCCCAATCTGTACTTCTTGGTGCTATTTTTGGTTCTATAGCAGGTACTCTCATCATTGTTGCCATCATTCTAACAATCTGGTGCAAACGGAATAACCAAAGTCCTCCCAAATGCCCAGATTTTAGTGTTCTGTTCAACAACCAAACACAAAAACTAACTGTGCTAACCAATGAGTATGATCTGACACACTTAAAAGCTTCATCTGTTAACAAATCTGAATGAGCACTGTAAGTGTTCTTACTGTATAAATATATTATGTACTGTATACTCGCATTGTCCAGTTACCAGGGCTAGCCCCATGAAATAACCTCCAGGTTGCTGGGCAGTCTTAACGGTATATTATGTTACTCGTAAAAGTTTACAAAGTACCTCCCTTTATAAAGCCCTCCTTAAGATTTGAAAGCCATGCAGGCAAAAAGTTGAACAACCAGCCTGAATATCACTGTCAATGTGTTAGAATAAATGCTTAAGAATATCACCGTATAAAGCTGTATAGTAGATATACAAGACCTCATTGTATACTTTATCAACTATCTTAGCACCTATATGTAGAATTGTAGCAGATTTTTAGCCAGTAATTTAGTCGACACTCTATAAAGCATAGTACTCATAGAACTTGTATATTATGATTCCAATATTTCTAAATATGATGTAAAGCTTTGTTACTTAGATTTTTGTGGATTTCATGAAGCTCGTGAATTTAATATCGTGACAAACTGTCTATGGTGTTTAAGCGTACTTACATCATTTTAGACTAATATCAATAAAATAAAGAAAATGATGATTGCACGACACCATAATTGTCATGTAGTGTTTTTCTAGCCTCCACCAGGCCTTCCTATGGGGGTACGGATCGTAGAATTTGACAAAAAGGGAAGAATAATTGGCTAGGAGAGTAAGTCCGCCGGAAGGCTAATTCCTCCTTAACTGTAGCAAACCTCGCCGGGCCAATTATTCTCCCTGTTGGCTACATTTTACTGTTTTTGAACCCACGTTGTTAGTCTGGTGGAGACTATAGTGTTATGCACGTATTAAGTGTCGTGTTGATAGCTTTATAGCTTTCACATATACGACACTTCACTACGTACAGTTGTGGAGAAGAGAGTGCACATTCCTACAGTCTAAAATTAGAGGATAAAAATGACAGGCGAGCCAACGTGACTATTCAAACAAATACTGCTCCAACAAACCGGTAAATTTAGATCAAGTAGAGATGACTATGAATCTTTAACGTAGAATACAGGTTTTCAACGTTCATTGCGTAACATAAAGTGCATTTAGAGTACTGAACTTTTATGTAATGAAATATGGGTAACTCTTGAATTTTATAAGGTTGCTTAATATATACGTTTGTTGCACTTTGTGACATTAAAAGTACAAATTGTTTGCAGTGTGTGTTGATAGTCAGTGAATTCTTGCAAAACGAGACAAGAAATCGCTATTCTAAGCGGACTGAACTGGTTTGAACCTGCTGTAGCTCTAACCTTAGCCGCCCATGCACCGTCCAATTTAGCTGTCAATCAAAATGGCAACCAACCAATCATCTCTTCTTATGACTGTTGGTGTACATGGAACTGGTCCAGGTAGGTGTGTCATACCTCTTTAGTTGTTGAGTGACCCCCATTATCCACCCTATATTCAATGTCGTTCCCAATTCTACTTCTTTCATTCTCCTTAGGCTGGGTTGGGGTGTTTTAAAAGATGTACCTGCATCTGTCCTATAAATTCGAAGCATTGTACTTTTTCTGACAGCCTGTTTTCCAGTCGATCTTTTTAATTGTAGCTTGTGTCTTGGAAGGGGATTGTGAATGTCCTTGTAAAAACTGTCCTGGATTTCTGGGGGTGGATTTGCTGATAAAGGCTATGTCACGGCATTTCGTAGCCTGGTGTCCAGTCTAGCGTGGTTTTGGGTCGGCTTTCTTCGGGGATGTACGAGTTTTTCCCGCTGGACTCAACCAGAGTCCGGTAGGTTTTGAGCGATAGCACACCACGATTATCCATCCGTACAGGTGATAGGGCTTGAAAAACTCCCACCGGGCTGCCAGTTGAGCTGGGCGGGGGGAAAACTACTAGAGCCCGGAGGAGAGACCGTCCCAACCACGATACACTGGACACTAGGCTAAGCATTTCCCCGACCGTGTATGTACATGTACATGCAAGGCAGGCCGGAATGTTGCTGACCGTTGTGACAGCTGTCGTTGGGCGCTGACTCAGAACCGCTGACAGCCAGCTCTGTCTTATATTAGCCAACAGCTCATCTTATATTTGGAACCTTTTTAATGCTTCAAGGTTACGCACCACCAGACTTTGGTGTACCCGCATGACACCGACCTGCTGGGAACGTATACCATCTCTTGACCGTTCCCCTGCATGAGGTGACCCTGCTCTGAATTATTGGACGGCTGAAATTGTTGGTCCGTCGCCACTTCAAGCCTCGCCAGAGCGTCCTTGGCTCCTGATTTCTAGGTATTTTATTTTGTTTTTTTGATTCACCCGTTGAAATAACGTTTGCCAGTTGTAATAGAACTGTGAGTCGACGTGTTTAGCCCAAACGTTCAATTCTAATTTGTCATGGTTTCTTAGCGCTAAGCCATCAGTGAACCAAAGCAATATGGAAAAAGTACGTCAACAAATGTATTTAACACTTGACGTTAACAAGCTATAGTTTGAGAAAAAGAGGGACAGAATTTTTTTAAATACATTCCTGTTGACATATGTTCATCCCTGTACAAACAGCTATTTAAAATAAATCTATCAGATTGTCTTAATCAACATTAATCATTGCCAACATGGCTTGAAATCATTGAGTAAATCCACTGGTAGGATGTAAAGTAGGGTAGCTCCATTGGTTTGGACCTTCTACGAAACATTTACGTTATTACAAACAAACAAAAAAACTGTGAGCGCCCAAAAACCTCAACAATTTCAACAAAAATCCAATTTATCTCACGTTTTGTGTGTTTTGTCGTTCTTTGAATCATACTTTACCATTTTGCGTCATATACCAATTATGAAATTAAAGGTCCCACCAATCTAATTTGCAATGAACGTAGTTTTGCACGGTACTAGATACGCCTGGGCTCTTCAGATTCTCTGACCATGGTTCTGGATAGAGCACAATTACGAACACAACACAACATGGGATGTATTTTAGCATTGTCGTCACCCCAGTCAGGTCCAGACAATATGACGGATGTCACATGTGGCCACCCGGGGCACACAACTCATTCTTCACGTATAGCCACACAAATCATCATCGGGGAATATCACACGGCTGGAGCCTGGCTTATTTCGTCCATGAAGTAGTCCATTTGTAAGAAACTTGTACGATGGTTTAGTAGTCTGTGTCCTTTCCCCCACTTTTGAAGACAAACAAACAATCGTGCTAGGACTATTAATAGAACAGGCCTATCCCAAAGTATACGCGTTAAGCCCCGCCAGCCTCCGTCAAAGTAACGCAATGTTTGACGAACCGTTGTCATTTTCTCATTAGCTGAATTGACATCCATCCATCTATCCGTCCGTCCGTCCGTCCATCCATCCATCCATCCATCCATCCATCCACACACACACCCACCCACCCACCCACCCACCCA